ATCTTTTCGACCTAAAGCCTTGTTGCTCTTCTGCTAGTATTATAATTTCTTTCAGTTTATTTGTTATCACTTTGGTTCTTAATTTTCGTGTTGTGTTTAATAAGTTAATTCCTAATTGGATTAGTTTTATAGTTGTTTGGTCAGATATGGTCCTCTGTACTTTGGGAGTTAGTTCGGTATTCTGTCCTCTCCTGGTGATTTTCTATTTTTTAATTTCCTTAAATTAAAAAATATTTAAGCTTCCTTTCACTCTTCCTCCTCAATATTTATTTCTTCGTTTGTCGTCACCTCTGCTGTTGGTGGTTCATTATCGTCACCTTTATCAAATAGAGATCGAAAGTAGTCTACTCATGTTTCAAAATTCAGTAGGGAATTATTTATTTTATATTAGTAGACAGAGCACTGGGTCTTTGCCAGCAGGTCAATTTTTTAGTGAAATCATCAAACTTATTGTTTTTTTTTAGATACCGAGAAATTGTAATTATCACAGGGGTTATTACAAAGAACAACAAAGCATGAACAGTCTCAAAAAGAGGAGTTACCTCAATTTATCTTCTAAAATATTCCTCTGAAACAGATCGAAAGTTGTATTCAAAATAAAACAAATTTAATAAGATAATATTAATTTGTTCAATTTTAAAAATTATATTTTGAAATCCACTTGCGATTGAGTAGCCAAAAGTTAAAAATAAAGAACTTTGTTCTACAATTGTGGCTTACTCCCAAGTTATATAATTGATAGAAAAGGAATATTTTTTGTACAAATATTGTTAATTATTCAGTTGACGTAGTAACATAAGCCAAATACGCAATATCTCGACTATCGAGACATATGTTTAAGACGCAGTACATTTTCATGACAATAAATGGAAAACAGAACTCGAATCAACTTAAATTCATAAATGAATATGTTTTCTATAATAGCTTTTTTTATTCATTTTACAATTATATTAGGTGTTTTTACTACACGATTAATTTATTTTTTATTTTTCTACAAATTCGTCAATACAGTGAATGTGTCACATTAAGGAAAATTCTATTGAAATAATTGATGGTGGCCCCAGAAAAAAAGACATTTGAATATAATATAAAGCGTGCGGTACCGTTGAAGACATAATTTTCACTACTGCGTCTACTTTAATGATATCAAAGCTCAAATAACTATGTTTCCATCCTTTTATTTGTAAAGAAATATTATCTAGTGTACCGCATAAGGTACTATATAAGGGAGATAGAATAGACAGAGTGAATTGTCTAAGTGGACTGTGCGCCCAAATACGGCAAAATTATGGCTGAGATTTGAGGTCACTTAAGACTGTTTTTCTTCCTATAGGTTTATTTTAACCCTTTGAAGCCCAATTTTTACTAAATTAAAAAAAATCAGGATTTTTGTGAAATTTATTTATTTTAGTGGGCATATTCTTAAAACAAATTCAGTCAAAATAAACAATGCCGATCCTGAAGTATATCCTGCAGGATGTTAGGATGCAGATAGCACTTCTTTCTTCCTATTCTTCCTACTGTTTTGCATTCACGCAAAAATCGAAATTGATGGGAAGATAATAAAGCAGGAAGCAAGGTTCAGATATCTGGTAATAGATATAACTAGTTACGGAGATGTTGAAGAAGAAGTATGACAACAAAGTTTAAATGCAAGTAAAGCGGCGGGTTCCCTTAATGACACAATCTGGAAGAATAAACCTCTAAGAAAAGACACAAAAACAAGAATCTATAAAGCAGCAATTAGACCTATATTAACATACACGTCGGAGCCAAGACCTAACATATCTAAAAGGAGACGACTGCTAGAAACAACAGAGATGGAAATACTCCGACGAATATCAGGGAGAAGTCTGTTGGATAGGGAGAGAAGTGAAAACATAAGAAGAGCATGCAATATAGAAGACATAAATGGATGGGTGACAAAACGAAAAACAGGAGTGGAACGAACATATCAGTAGAATAACAGAGGATAGAATAGTACGAATAGCACGAGATAAGTCACCAAATGGACGAAGAAGTATTGTCAGACCAATAAAAAGATGGTGCGACAATTTAAACCATTTAGGAGGCTAATATTGAAAAAGAAACAGGCTTTAAAGCCTACATAGGTACTAGAAGGAAGAAGAAGAAGAAGTTTTGTATGGAACGTTGCAAAACAATTTTTGTTGTGTTTGAGACAAAGTCCGACATTGCAAGATGACATTTCCACCGTATTCTGCTAACATTTGCTGTCGTACTGCAGTTGGCACATCTCAAAAGAAGTAGTTCTTTGGGGCTTATGAGAAGACTTTGAATGGCACAGTTCCAAGGGAATCTGTCTTTTGAATTTACTCACTGGTTTTTCTGCTGATGGTCTTCCCTTTTTTAGTTGTTCTGGAGCTCCAATAAGGCATCTAATGACAGAGATCCGGAATCATCGAAAGACATACTTTCGGATTGACTTTTAAGTTGAAATAGTGCAATAAAGTTCTATTGGCAATCAAATATCAAAGTAATTTGATAACTACAAGTTTGGAAATAATTGCACACCCACACAATTTTTACATCTACACTTATTCATTGTCATAAAATGTCACCTTTATAAAACAATTACTCAATAAATAACACACATTTCAAAAATATATCTCTGGAATAAGTATAAATAACTTTTAATAACACAATAGTATATTACACCACTTACATTTAACAAACAATCTCACACATATCTCAAATTCATTGGATCAAATCTATCTCCTCAAGAACTTCCCGTTTACTGTCAAACAACTGCAATAATAGTATTGAGTTCTCCATTCAACAATATAAAGTAGTTTCAAACATGTTCTACCATCCATCTATTAATAGAGTACCGGCATCATTTGTTTAACTTTGTATCGAGACCTGAAGATGCTTTGCATATTGTAGAAAGCGAAACCGGTCGTCTGATAGTTAAATTAAATTGATTGTGAGTAAGTCTTATTTATTATTTCTTTACCTATTTGAAATGGACTCACACAAGCAACACATTCATAACAGTTAAAATAGTTGTCAAACAGCACTCGGTGGTGTTTATATACTAAGACCCTTGTTAGATCCTCTACGACTCGTTGTCTTAAGTTTTTTTAGGCGGAATTTCCCACTTTACCAGTATATATCTGGAACTCACACATGAATCCGCTTGACTCTGCTCTAACCCATACTTTGTAGCCACGTTTTATAGGTTTATTGGGCATGTACTATCGGATACTGCTTTGACCTTTAAATCATATCATAGGCGTGGATTCAGTGCTACAAGAAACTTTTCCGTGAGTTTGTCCAATAGAGGTAAAGTTAAAAAAACACTTTGTTAAGTTTGTCAAATCCGGGATCAGATCCATTTTTTTGGCTGCACTGTATTATCAACCAGATGTAAATTGCCTAGTGATCAAGCGAATGTGTTACGTGACATAACCGAACTGATGAAATGGTTTTGTAATTTATCACATGACAACCAATAATCTCTGTAAATCGGCATTTTCTTTATAACCATTAATAAATTTACTCCAAGAAATGTTTTGACTTCACCTTCTGTGGTAGGTGTAAATCCATTTCCTCCTCCGTGTTTTTAACGTAATATAGATTGGTTTGAAATACAATTAGGTGAATTACATCCTCAGAAAATAGTTTCAAAAACACATACGTGGGGTTCTCTGCAGAATGTTCAATGTTTGAGCGTGTAGTTTCAATAAATTGATTTGCTTGTATTATGTAACTTTTATTTGGGATCCAAAATATAGAGCTATCTCGCTTTGCTAGCCGTACTACTAGCGGTACATCGTCTTCACTCTCCGATTTCGATTCTTGATTATTTGGAGTATTGGTTGTTTTATCTTGATTGTTAATTTGGTCTTCAAATACGATGTCCATATTTCCAATATCAAAGATATCTTCATTATTTGGTTCATCAACATAAAATTCCCGAAATTCATCAACATCCAATTCATCTCCCAAGACGTTTTAATATCAGAGACAACTGACTCTTGGTCACTTGGAATTTCATCCAATAAGACGTCAACCTCGTTTTGAGACATATTTTCCAAATTCCTAAAGCTCCACTTTTGATTTTGCATATTGTCAAAATGCATATAAGAAGTGTCCTGTGGTCGTGCTAGAATACCATATAAAAGACAGTGATCTACAAAAAAAATTAAAATTTATTCATACAAATAAAAGTATTTAGTATGAAACAGACTTTAAAAATATCACTTACCCGTAATTTCTGTAATTAATAATAATTGAATAAACAAGAAAACAACTAAAATATGTCGCTCTGTCAACAACAAACGTCCGCTTCAAATGTGTGCTTGACTAATTATGTTATCCAATCAATGTGATTCAATCAAATCGGTTTTAAACTGGTTAGACACTTACAATATGATATAGGCAACCAATTTTACACACTGGTATGACTGTAAAATCGCTGGGAAGTTTAAAAGAGATGTTTGTAAAGGTGATCATCTCAGCATACCGATACTCGTCAAAGGGTTATAATGTACTTAAAAGTATGTGAGTTTTTAGAATTGAACGAAGAAAAGAAACCAATTTTCTATGTGACATAAAAGTCCAACAAGGCATATAATCATCGAGTTAGAATCTACGGACAAGCTATGAGTTTATAGGTGTGTATTAAAAACGACGTCAGTAGGTGTGGCTAACGATCATACGAATATGGCGGCGGGATCATGGCCAGACTCAATAATATTAAAACTACTATACAAATATGACTAGTTATTCAGAAGGTTTAATCATAATCATAACCATTATTATGCACTACCACAGTATAATATTACAGTTTATATAAAAGTATTATATAACTAAAAATATTCGAAAAACAACAAATGTAAACAATCATACACGATCCGCCAAAACGATCATAACAATATGGCCGAAGCGAGGTCGTTTTTAGTCACGTGATGCCATCTCCATAGATTCTAATTCGATGCATATAACAAAACATATGAACTTGATTTTGTTAGACTTACCAACTCAAAAATTAAATCTTTCTCGTCCATCTGCCTTAATTCGTGCCGCGACCTCCTCTGCCGCCGTCCAGGCGTAGGACTACCTGTTCCTGCTGGTGTTTGGTTTTCGCTGGTTAAGAACGTGGGTTGGCCATCAATGGTATTTATCATAGGCTTCAGCAGACCGCTGCGTTCGAATTCGTGCGCAGATATTTTTCGCACGGGTGTTGTAGCACCCGAACTTGCTCTTGACGGGTTGTTGTGCGTTGGTGAGGCTAACTCCACGTTGGATGAGGTAGGAGTGGCATGCGACACTTGCCATTGTTCCACTAATTGTCGTGTGGCTTTTCTGAAATAAAGCAATTTAAATATTAAATTAATAATCATGTAGACTATGGACAGACAGAAGAGATTGCGTAATCGTATATTATATAAAAAATAGTCGACGAAATGTGTGTACGGACATAATTTCAGAACGACTGCACCTATAGATAATTATTTTTTTTGTGTGTTATTATCAGGAGAAGGTTTGTGTAAAAGATAATTTTCAAAACATTTTACGGAAAGACCTTAAAAACAGTTTTTCTGGTAATTTTAAATTGCAATATAACTAATAGATGGCGCCATACTATGACTAACAAAAGAAGCTATGACTAAAACAATAAATCGAGTGTTATTGAAGACATTTGACATATACGCAAGCCATCGAGCAATAAGACAAAAGAGGGAATGTAAAGGTAGTGGGGGTAAACATATTGATAGACAGGAAGTGCCATCTTGAGAGGCCACTTTAGACAAGGATAGACAGTCTCTTTCCTTGTTTAAGACGTCAAATTTAGTTAGGTTATGTTAATGTTTGTCCCAACTGTCACATGAAATTTTATTTATATTGAAATCTTTTACCTATTGTGTCACTTTTTAGACTATTATAGTTAATATTTAATTAAAACTTTCTCGTCTGAAAAATATTTTATTGCTATTGTTAATAAGTGTTGGAAAATTTAAATTTAGCGCCTTTGCATTTCCGGATATGTCCGCCATCAGAGGCCACTTTTTTGGTCTCCTTTTCATAACGATTAGATTCCCTCTTTTATCTTTTTGCTCGATGACGCAAGCACAGTTGTGCGTCCTTTATTACTGTGCTTTAATCAAATAAACGCCGCCTGTATTTAACTTAAATACAAACCAGAGAACTTTTATTTAAAGATCCCTTATTTTGACATAACCTGTCAAATTACGCGTAGAAAGAAAAAATATGTCTAACTTCACTTATATTGATACTATCGATATTTGACCAAATTTGTTGTATGTTTTATTTTATTTAATGAATATTATTTTTAGTATTATTATTATTCTCATTTAGTAAATCTTTATAATTATTGTTTTACGTTATACTGATAATAGTCATAAGTATTTCTAACAACTCTGTTTCTTAATCAGTCAGCAGGGCATGGCATTTTGCGCCAGCTAAACTAGATATATCTAATGGTTCTTCCATATTGTAAGATAAGTATTATCGAATATAGTATTCTTTAAATAACAGTTTAATTAAATTCAACGTTTTACCCTCTTCTAATACTCTTTTTGGTATTAGGTATATAAGTAACAAATAGGATCTTGTAGACATTTATAGGTTATTTTATATTAGACAAAAATATTTAATATCAGTTGTCAAACTAAAAAATTTCTTTAATATGTTAGTAATAACACTCATCTCTTAGACATGAAGTATTTTGTATTTTATTAAAGGATTCTGTAATAAAGGCGACTGCCACCTTACGGTTTCAATAACTCCTAATGTCAGTATTAATAGATTGAGAATATTGACAAATGATAACGATGAAATTTCAACATATCAGATGGGAAGATATGTCAGTCAGGCGATTTGGAGAATCTTTTTATTTTTCCATCCATTAACTGCATCCCAATGTAGTTAATTTAGCTTTTCATCTGGTTAATGGACAACGATGTTATTTTACGAAAGAAAACGTAACGCAAAAATCTGAACGATCACCAACTATAACGTTTAAATTTTACATCTTAAAGGGAGACTTGACAACATATATAAATTAGAATAAAATACATTAAAATATAATAAAAAGAGTAAAATAAAACAAAATAAAATAAAATAAAGTAAACAACATTAAAGTAGAATAAACTAAAATAAAATAAAATTAAATGAAATAAATATATAAAATACATAAATGTTATTTATTTCCTTTGCGGCTATAAAAAAATAACAGTTAAAAAGAGAACAACAGTTCAACCAACGCTGAAGGTATTATCAAAATAGTTCATACAAATTATTTACAATTGAATCAACAACAAAGGATTGCATATGATACTTTCATAGAAGCTGTGAACATTGGATCTGGTGGAATTTACTTGCTTGATGCTGGAGATGGATAGAAAAACATTACTAATTTTATTAGTATTCATAGTATCGCAGTAACCCTAGTGTTGTTTTCATCTGGATCTAGCATATCTACAACTTTATTGGAAGGTGAACAAATTGCAAATTTTGCCGTAAATTACTATTAAACACACAAATTAATGAAACACCAGATTGCAAAATCGCCAAAAACAGAGCAATGGCAAAAATTTTTTACAGGGACTGTTCAGACCTTTGAAAGATATTCGTGACAATCAAAAACATTTTTGGTGGAGCTATGATTCGATTTTCACACTGTTCCTTATTTTAATAATTATTCACCAATTAACTGCTGCAGACGAACTAGACGCGTGCCTAACATCATCTAATTTGTGGCATGTAAAGACGCTCCAATTGAGAAATAACAAGCGAGTGTTTTTGCAACAAAACGAGTAGTCAAAAATAAAGTAGTATCAAAAATTGTGTCATTTAAAATGTCAGACGTTGGGCAGATAGCCCGAAGCAAAATTTAACAATCTCGGAGTAGATGTGTGGAAGAAAACGATCACGTTATTGGAGTGGAACAGAAGTACCTTAGAAAAGAACATTTAATAAATGACGTGGCTGAACTGATCATACATGTTGGCGAAAACCATGCCGACAGTTCGTGGTCAGACACCGACAATGATGAAGGTGACCTAGGATGTGAAAACTGTTATAGTGACAAAACCAGTGTTATTTTCTTTGTTTTTGTGAAAACTGTTGTTTATTGCGATATTCATATTATGCTTTTAATACTAATATTGCATTATTATGAATTATGTTATTATCCAGTCGGTTTATTATAAGTATGCAAATTATTTGATTTGTAAATAATTTTTAAGTACAAATGATTACTCTAGCAAATTCCTATTCCACCAACATATTTACGTCTTCTAACTTAAAATAAACGTTTTGTTTTGGAACTTAATTTTTGTTTGCGCCCAAATCATTTCTATAGGGTTCAAGTCTGGATGATATGGCAGAAGTTTTAAAGAAACATGTCCACATTTTTGCAGCACTTTGTCAAATTTAAGTTAAATATGATCATTTTTTTACACCCATCAGAATTACTGGTGAGTGCTTTATTAATTTGTACATTATCATATGACGCATTATCAGTATCAACAACACATCCAACAGGTAAATTGGAGATTAACTGTTCTTTCATCCATTTTTTATAATTTTCTGAAATTATATCATCATGATAATCTCCTGTCTTAGCTCTTGACTTAAAAATCAAAAAGGCAATCTGTATGAAACCCATCTCCCCACCACCATGTACTATAACCAACTTACTTCCCTTTGAAATGTTTTTGAATAATCCTTTACCATTGTCATCTGTCCAGCTATTTAGCGTAGTGTGTGCTGCAGGTATGTACATAGATTTCATCAACATACAATTGACTTACCTTCGCTTCTGTAATATTTAATTGTGTTCAAATATTTAATGCGTAGAGCACGAATATTATTTCGTTCAATTAATAAACGTCGATTATCTTTTGTTTTCTTCCATTTAAATCCTCAATCTTTCACGATTCTGTAGGGAGAATTCACACTTTCAGTCCACTCGTACAACTCTTCAAGCCTTTTCTGCAAAAGCTTCAAAGGTACAGAACAATGTTCAGTCTTATGGAAACGATGAATGGTATTTCATACTCTCTTAAGTCTGTCACGGTTGCTTTCCTTTTAGCAAGTGTTGTAGCTGGAAATTTTGGTGTAATATTACGACTCTGCGTTTGTTAACATACTCGCTTGTTGAATGATCCTTTCTGCTGTACTGGTTGGATATTAGCGTATTTAGAGAATTAAAGGACGAAGGACCACCAGCCTAGTGCTGGAATGAAAAACAGATTTAAACACTAGCTTATATTTAATACTAAGATTAAATAGCAATTTCTGAAATCTGTCCGAAAACACTGTGATATGGGGTATTTCAACTACACTTTTCACTGGCGCTATTTTCACTATTATATATAACTAATTACAAGTAGAATTGCTTAGCGGAATGTCTTTTCTATGTTTAAAGCAAACTACTGGCAACACTGCTGGTTTGAATAGATGAACTTTTATATAAAAACTATACTGCGGTTTGAAGACACCCTGATTACTATAAATGATTGACTTATATTCTTTATGAATAATATTGCGATGCGAACTATTTAGTTACAAATACATATAATATTAACTGCTTTACTTATTTAGTTACAAATACCTACATATACTTAACAAATTAAGTAGACAGGTAGCGGATGGTCTCCTACCCCTAGAAGCACCGTTAAATATCTTCCGTTATTTCTTCTAAGAAGGCTTAGCAATATCGGCATGGGAAAAATTAATCTCAAGTGAAATGGAATTTCACCATGTACGTAAAGATACTCCAGTAGCTTCACTCACACGTTGTTTAATACTGGTTCGACTATCTTCAGCAAATAGTATTTGCATATATTTAAATACATTGCAAACTGAAATCGTAGGCTTCCACGGCTAGAGTCAGAATTATAGTTTATTCGTCTTCCGGGTTTGGACCGTGTCATTTGTGAGTGACCCAAAAGTGGGTTCATCTCGACGTTTCGCTACAATTGTATGTAGCTTCTTCAGGAGAACAAAGAAAAAGAAAAAAGAAAACAAAAGAACAGGAAGATGGGTAGTTAGCAACGGTAACTCAGTTACTCAACGCAACCAGAGGCGAATACTAACTACCAAGATGGGCATTTGGTCACAGTAACTCAACTACTCAACGCAGCCAGAGGTGAAAACCAAATGCCAGGACAGGGATTCACGTCCAACAGCTCAGAACACTAACGCGTCGAGAGGCGGGGAGTAAATCCTCACTCCCCGCCTCTCATTTCATTTTCAGATTCAGATTCATTTTCAGTCCTTAATCCAAGTCCAAGGAGTCATTAATAATGGCTTTATAATTACGGTTTTAAGGTAAG